CCAATATATATATATATACCGGTATATATATATATATATATAATTATAAACGTTCAATTAAATGTGTCCATGCTGAATAGAAGTATTACTTAATATTTTTGTGATAAATTTTTTTCAGGATTTTAAATTAATAGAGTTAATAAGAGCTACATTTATTTGAAAAAGAAATCATTTGTAGCATCATAAGTGTTTTTAATGTCACTTTTGATCAATTTAATTTGTCCTGCCTGAATAAAAGTTTTAATTTCTTAAAAAAAAAAAAATAATAAATCTGACCCCAAACTTTTGAATGATAGTGTATAATCACTTAAGATCGGAATTGCATCATGAAGTACTCCACTGAGAAAACTGAGAAAAAACTCAATAAAGATTGTGTAGCTTTTTGTTTTAAGTGTTGTAAAACAAAACCAATTTATCCTCATCGTCCAAGACAGGAAGTGGTAGCAGTCGTCTGGTTGTTTCATTTTTTGGTGAACTATCCCTTTAACTCAAAAAAAAAAAAAAGATTATTTTTATTACCCCACTGACAGGTACTTTTTCTAAACACACTTAATTTTGATAAAATTTTTCAGAAAACAAGACTTAATATCTCAAGTCATTTTTCTTCTGGAGTAAATGTATCGTGATTTAAGAATGTTTATATGCAGTATTTTTACTGGAAAGCAAAACAAAAATGCTAAATAAGACAGAAAATTGCATTGCAAGAATATAAAATAGTTATTTTAGGAACTGTTCAGTGGTTAAGGAAACCAAAAAATGGTTCTTCTATGGCGTCACTGCAAAACCCCACTTTTGGAACCTTTATTTTTAAGAGTGTAGGTTCATGTCCATTTCATGTGAATCACACCTACACACACACACACACACACACACTTACAGATATAAAAGCACTAAGGTGATTGCGCCTAGACAGATCCCTGGAGAACACCTCTGTGGATTTCTCCGAGCCAGTAGACACACACACACACACAGACGGTTGACCTGCAGGAGTCAGTGTTGTGTGTACAGGTGCGGTGAACAGGACTGTAAAGCAGTGTAATTGCTTTGCTGCCATTAATCCTCTGCCAGCGACGTCTGACTCGCTGTGATTCTGCTATGAGCTTAATACTGTGTACACACACATATCACACACTCCCGCTCGCTTTCTTCTGCAGCCCGCGTGTTGCACAGTGCCACAAACCATCACGCACACATAAACGGATGTGCACATATACACACACACACA